TGCCCTTTTGGTCCAATTTTTTATTTTTTTATTATTATTTTTTTATTTCCGAAGCCCTCTTCTGACACATAATAACATGTACTAAAATTATTTGCTTTTTTGTTTGTTTGTTTTTTGTACAACATAATAAGCCGGTCACCTTGTTACCTTTGACCTTTTGCCTGTGACGCATGACGCAATTGCCTCTCGCGCAGTGAGATAAGGCGGCCAACTGGAGCTTAAAGTAGCGAACGTTCCAGATTACAGAACAGTTTTTGGTGAATTAAAAAAACGTTTTTGGTGAATAAAGTGGAGTAGACTTGCTACTTGTCAGATGACGGAAAACGTTGAACGTATCGTTTCTGCTTCAGCTCTGAGTCGCGGTTTAAGCAGAGAGGTAATGAAATACAACAGACACTGACAGGCCTCTGCGTCTGGCTTACTCTGAAGAACTACTGAGCGGGAGGAGACAACCAAGTGAGGAAAACCTGTTCTCATCTATCGATTCAGTATTTTTATCATACAGACATTAGGCTGTTGTTGTTGTGCTATTAGCTAGCTGCTAGCTAACGACTTTGCTAGCAAAGCAAGATAACTGAAAAGCTTCTTCCCTGCATCGTTAATGATATCAGTCATTCTTCAGTATCGCTTATGCAATAAGGGGCACATCGTCCGTCCAAAACCGATCATCTCCATGATGGATAAATGTCAGATCTTCTAATTTCCTTTGCTGCATAATGTACATTGCATTTATTCTGGCATTAGGTAAATGTATCTTGAAGGAGAATAGCACTTAAATAAAAGTCCAACAAGGATATTCATTTAGAATTAAAAATAACTCACCCTGAATTACCAAGATAGATAAAATGTATGTAATAAAAGTGTGTCATTGATGAAGGGGAAAAAACTCAATCCAGACTTTAAGTAAGTTTAGGGTCTGGTTCGCAGAGTATGCAGTAAAATTTGTTTCACAATTATTAAATGAAAAAAAAAAACTAACCTCAGTTAAGTAAATTGTTATCAAAACATTTGGAATTGTAATGATTTCTTTTTTAAAACTAAAAGTTTTGTTTAAAAAACTTTTTTTTAAAATTAAATAACTCATTTTTGTCTCATAAACTTAAAAAGTTATTTGTAAAACATAAACATTTATTTGCACACATCAGGAATCTTTTGTTGCGATGTTTTTGACTACAGGCTACGGAAACATTTTCTTGACCTATGGTTTCCAAAGTAGAGGAAGCTTTTATTGATGACTCTGTACAGAACTGACCTGTAGATCTCTCAAATAGCTCGCTCTGCTGTTCCTCATGGTCATTCAGTTGGGTTCCAAAGGGCAATGCAAAGGGATCAGTTTGGGTCGAATTAGTTTCTTGGTCCGGTTTTGTCTGAGTGCTGGTTTCACACACATTCATCTCAGTTTGGGTCAAAATCGTTTGTTGGTCCGGTTTTGTCTGAGTGCTGGTTTCACACACATTCATCTCAGTTTGGGTCAAAATCGTTTGTTGGTCCGGTTTTGTCTGAGTGCTGGTTTCACACACATCCATCTCAGTTTGGGTCGAAATCGTCCGTCTCACTGTTTTTTCCTGATAACTAGTTTCCTGTACAACCATGTCCATTTGAACAGAATCAGATTGATGACGAAATGTTCTGTGCTGTGAGTGTTCACGAATGTCTCTCTGAATTTGAGGAGAAAACATCGAATTTCTGCTTTGTCTTTTGTCTGATACTCCATTCCTCATCAGATCTTTCTGATGTCTTAGTTGAGCGTTCAGTTTACGATTTGTATCAAACAGCTCGTCCAGCTGTCTCATTAAATATTTCTGAACTCTTATATACTCTTTTTCAGATTCCTTAAATTTAGCAAGACATGCACAGTCTGCTTTACTCGCTGCTTTAGTTTCCTTTTTCAAGAAAGCCGCCTCATCATGTTCCTTTACAGGCATTGAAATGTTTTGTGGTTTAATAGTCTCAGGAAAAAAAACTTAAATTTAAGTGAGACTCTGAGTTGTTCTTCTCGTTGGACTCATGCTGATGTGGCTGTCTGTCCCCTTTTTGATTCATTGTCTCCAGTGGTTTGGTGATCAATTCCTTTTCAGTCACTGGTGAATAGGAATATGTGGAAAAATTAAACAGCCAGTCGATCTTTTTAAACATTCCATTTTTTATCCCAAGGCCCTTCAACATTTATGTCGGCTTTCAGGGAATAATCTTTGCTTTGAGATCTGCTCATGCCACATCGAGATCTATTTCGATCTTCCTTTGACGAGTTTCAACCTCTGAAGCAACACATAAGTCAGGACAAGTTCTGCGTAATTTACACGTTTTGATGGTTTTGCAGATGAACTTTTAAAAAAAAGGCAACATACCATATTAGACCAATAAAGTCTTTCTAATTAGTTATTCCCGAGATCTTAGTGGTTGTTTTACGGAATCGGATAGTATTTTTGCAAAGATTTGTAGTTCTTTAAGCTTATTGCATTGTTTACTTCCTGGTTCGGTAAAGGGGTCCTAAAAAGCCACGCCCACAGAAACATCAGTCTTTTCCAGCTGCCACCACCAGTTGATTTAGCCACCAGTTGATCTATAACACCGGTCGCAAGTTGTTATGCGAACACAACCGTTCCGTTACGTGCAGTGCAGTGCGAAAGCGCCTTAAGTGGGTTTTTAAACTGTCACTGGTTGCCATAGTTACAAACCATTACCTTGGGTGCGTTCACACTGCAGCCTGAAGTGACCCAATTCCGATTTTTTTGACGTAATGCGACCTGTATCCGATCTTTTCATGGAAGTGTGAACAGCACAGGTCAGATTCTTTTTCGAATGTGACCCATATCCGATACGTATCCAATTCAAATGCGAAATAACGTCCAGGTCGCATTCATCCGAACTGAACGTCACTGATACTCGACAAATCTCACGATTCTGCGTCCTGATAAGCGCAAGAGGGAAAGAAAAACAACAACCATGACGGACTATATGAGGATTAAGTTGTTAATATGTTGCTCCGGCCGGATAACAACTTCAAATATGTAAGCTAAGCTCCACCGTTAGAACTTTATGTTTTTATTTTGTTGAACGGTATATTTTTTATTTGTGTGTGTTGTGACATGCTGCACTTACTGTTTGGGTCTAGCTGTTTTTTTTTTTTCTGAGAGAAACTGTTTTATTTTGAAGAACTTTTACGTATAATGCCGAGTGAGCCGCATCTAAATAACTTTGATTTTTTTTTTTTTTTTTTTTTTTTTTTTCGAGGCGGGTTTCCTTTTTTCGAAAAAAAAAAAAAAAACAAAGTTTTACAAAAAAAGGGAATTTTT